CATTTTGAATGTAAAAATCGCGTAAGCGCTAGATTCGAGGGCTCTCTCTCTCTCATCATCCAGCCGCGCTCCGGATGACGGTCGAGCGACTTACGGCGAGGCAGCGCCAGGTCTCGGCACACAGCCCTGCTCAACGATCTGCGCGACATCTATACAGAACATTGTGGGTGAAGGAAACCTCAGTGTTGTAGGCACCGAACGATTTTAGGACTAAAGTACGTATCGCTAAAGTACGTAGGACAAAAGTACGTATGCAAATGTTCGTACGCAAATATACGTAGGCGATAAAGTTCGTATGCCAAAATTACGTACGCAAATATTCGTACGCAAAAGCACGTATGCAAAAGTACGTAGTGCATAAAGTATGTATGTCAAAAGTACGTACGCAAATGTTCGTACGCAAAAGTACGTATGAAAAAGTACGTAGTGCATAAAGTACGTATGTCAAAAGTACGTACGCAAATGTTCGTACGCAAAAGTACGTATGCAAAAGTACGTAGTGTAAAATGTACGTATGCCAAAAGTACGTACGCAAATGTTCGTACGCAAAAGTTCGTATGTAAAAGTACTTAGTGTATAAAGTACGTATGCCAAAAGTACGTACGCAAATGTTCGTACGCAAAAGTACGTATGCAAAAGTACGTAGTGTATAAAGTACGTATGCTAAAAGTACGTACGCAAATGTTCGTATGCAAAAGTTCGTATGCAAAAGTACGTAGTGTAAAAAGTACGTATGCCAAAAGGCAAAAGTACGTACGGTTCGTATGCCAAAGTACGTAGTGTATAAAGTACGTATGCTAGAAGTAGGGTAGGTATAGTAGTGTAAGTTGAGCCACTTTTTCTTTATTGCTGCTCTGTTGCCATACTAAAAAAAAATATAATAAAAATATAATACATATAAAAAAATACTAACAGGGATAAAATACTAATATGATAAATTCATATACCAACTAGGTAATATAGCTATGTCCATTTCGCCCATTTACTCACCGAGAAATTTTGCTATGCCTTGTAACAAATGCTCATTAAACAAAGAATAAGAAAGGTATTACACATTGATCAACTTAACCCAAGGGTGGGGTACGTACTTAATACCCTACGGGCTACGTGCATTTGCTATGCGTACTTTTGTCCGTGACGTACTTTTGTCTACACGTAGGGTAGACCGGGGCAAGTCGCCCCGCCGAGATAAAACGCCTCACCGATGTTTCTCGGAACTGGCAGGGTTCTGGGGAAGATCCTCTCTTCTGTTAAATGTGCACTATATGACCATTATATGGGCAGACTGGAAAGAAATTGTGATAGGTAATTTTCTAAGGAGATATAGCCAAAAATGTGTTTGTTGAGTGATTTTTATGTTTGGTTGTCTGATTATACATCATCGCGTTCTTTTGTGGTCCACATCAGGTTAACAACTTTTATGTATTTTGAACAACTGTTGTCTAACGCTTATGATGCCGGGCTGGTTCGTGTTAAATTATGTCTTGCTGGAGCGCAAGGCGTTTTTCGCTGACCGAACTACGTGATGGGGTAAAACGCCCGAGTAGGTCGCAGGGCAAAAAGCCCCATGGGGCGTTTTACCTCATGTGTTGTTCGGACTACCCACTTCCTAATGTTCGGTACCTGGCGAACAACAAGTTTCTATGCATTTATATGTATTTTTCTCAGCAACTGTAGCGAAGGAAGTATATTGTTAACTGATTTGCATTGCAATGATTTATTATTTGGCCTTATGAGGCAGGTGAAAAACCTGGTCATACAATAGTGTCATAGCTGAACACTTGATAGGATGGAAGGTGTTACCTTCAGTGCCGTGCCTCCAGCGGTCTAACGGACCTCTCATATAAGATTTAGCCAACTACTATGTATGTTCAATCTCCCTCGCCCCAATGCCCCCCCCCCCCTGTGGTTTTTCCTGAATAGCAAGAAAACGGCGGCGCGCAGCGCCGCCAAGCTTTCAGTACCTTCCCGGGCATCAATTTGACACCTTCACACCAAATCTCAAGTCTTAGGTCACCTTAGGTCAGGAGTTATTGAGGTCAAACTGAGGTCATGTTCGAGCAAAAATGAGCAAAAAACATGCAATCTTGAAACGCTCACCAAATATACACAGTTATCAAGCAATTTCAAAGTTCTTTATGTGGTCTAGTAGACAAAAAGCGGCGCTACAAAACTGCTCTCTCGGATTTTCAAAATTTTGGGTTTTTGACCCAAAAAAATAAAAAAAATTGATTTTTTTTAGAGAAACTAAAAAAATCCAAAATTTTTCCGAATTTCGAAAAACCGGCATATATGTGATAGTCCCTGCGCTCTTCTATATACATACCAAACATCAGATCGATATCTCGTTTTTTGGCCAAGTTATAGCGAAAAAACTGTTCAAAATGATGACGTCAAATTTTTGAACTCAATTTTTAGCGATTCCAGACCTCGTACGGCAAAACAAAGACCACCATTGAACTCCCCGTGACGAGCTGCATCGATTCGATACCCATTTTATGCAAAAATATCAACTTTGAAATTTGACCTAATTTGACCTGACCTTGACCTGACCTTGACCTGACCTTGACCAAAACGTGACCTAAGCTGGCCCCAAAGGCTGCCTGACCCACATAATCGCATTTGTCATGTAAAATGGACCATAAAACATGTATCACACGACACTTCCATATTGTGACCCCCCCCAGTGACCTGACCTCTGTGACCTGACCTGGTATCAGTGACCTCAAATAGCAAAATATGTGTTGAAGAACATTTCCCCATCGATGATTTTCAATGAAATGCATTTTACTCGATTTTACAACGCATTTCTTGAAATGCCTGTAAACGGTGAAAATTGGACCTTTGACCTGACCTGTGACGTCATCGGTTTGACCTAGGTCAATAAAATTTGGTCACAAGGTAGTTCCCTGATAGGGCTATCCAACACCGTTTGCCGCTTGTCGCTAGGTTGCGTGGTTCTCGAGACCTTAGGGGGGGGGGGGCCAAAATGGCCCCCCCCCCCAACAGGGCGCGTTGCTCGGCAGAGCCCAACGGGGCGCGGGTTAATCTAGTGTATGGGGCTTCTTGCCTCAGGCCGTGGGGCGTTTTGCCCTGGGGTTGGGGCAAAATGCCCCATTTGCAGTTGCTTCACAAATCACTTCCTAGCTGGGAGTCCGATCATAAGTGAATAAATTTGAGGGGTGGAATTTAAAATAAAATGTCCAAAGAACACATTGAGCACAAATTTGGCCTTCCAGGTGATGTGAGACAAAAGAAGGTACCTATGTAGCAAAATAAATTATCTGGGGCGTCTTGCCCAAGGCTACCCTACTTTATACCCTACGTACATTTGCTATGCGTAGGCTTTTGTACGTGACGTACTTTTGTCCATACGTACTTTATACCCTACGTACTTCTGCGATACGTACTTTTGTCCGTGACGTACTTTTGTCCATACGTACTTTTTACCCTACGTACATTAGCTAAACGTACTTTTGTCCGTGACGTACTTTTGTCCATACGTACTTTATACCCTACGTACTTCTGCGATACGTACTTTTGTCCCAGAAGTACTTTTGTCCATACGTACTTTATACAGTACGTATTTCTGCGGTACGTACTTTTGTCCCTGACGTACTTTTGTCCATACGTACTTTATACTGTACGTACTTCTGCGATACGTACTTTTGTCCTTGACGTACTTTTGTCCATACGTACTTTATATCGTACGTACTTCTGCGATACGTACTTTTGTCCCTGACGTACTTTTGTCCGTACGTACTTTATACTGTACGTACTTCTGCGATACGTACTTTAATCCTACGTACTTTTGCTTACGTACTTTTGTCCTACGTACTTTAGCGATACGTATTTTTGTCCGTAACCCGCACCGAACGTGGATGTCCAGTCTGGATGACTCAGTGTAGTGTGAAATGGATACGTTGCAGGTGAATGCTGTCGTTGGTTGAAAGGCTCCTATTACTCAGGCACAGAAGACCGCTCTGAGTTTATCAGAGTTCATTCAGTGTAGCGCCTGTGTCCCTCGGCAAAAACGATAACGACGAAGGCTTCATTGATGCTCGTTTTTCTTCCGCATTCCAACGGCTGGTCAAAAGACGACGGCGTTTTAGATGTCATTTCTCGAGCTGACCTCAGCCTTGGCAATGAGCTCGCCATGTGGCGCCCAACTATCCGCCTGTAAAACCCTCGGCTCCGCGACTGCCCAGCTTAATCACCTTTTTACAGCCGCCAGAGATTTGATGCCACCTAGTAAATCATTCACAATTTACTGGTGCGGTGTAAAAACGGACCGAACAAACACAGTCGCACCACACGCGGCTTTAGCGCCACATTTGTCAAAGCTGACGACAAAAAGTGGTGGGTTATGTGTTGTCGCGGCGGTCAGTATCCTGGGACCGGGCACGGGGCGACAAAAACGCCCCTCCCCCGCACCGGGTGTCACCTCGCACGTTCTCTCCCCCTCCTCTGTCGCGCGGGGACCTGTCTTATAACCAGGGCTGCGGAGTCGGAGTCGGAGTCGGAGTCGGAGTCGGTCGGAGTCGACAGTTTTGACCGGAGTCGGAGTCGGAGTCGGAGTCGATATTGGAAACCCCAGCCGGAGTCGGAGTCGGAGTGACCGAAAATCTGTCGACTCCGCAGCCCTGCCAGGTGTGCGGAGTCGGAGTCGGGAGTTGGAGTCGATTGGAGTCGACATTTCTGCCCGGAGTCGGAGTCGGAGTCGGAGTTGGTTTTTGAAAGCCGGAGTCGGAGTCGGAGTCGGAGTCGCCGTAAATCCATCGACTCCGCAGCCCTGCTTATAACTATCCCAGCAACAGATACCTGACTCGTGGCTTCTGGCTAAGCCCGCGTGATAACTAAACATCGAGTCTAGCGCACTTCACATTCAACCGTGTTTTTCAGTCTAAAATCCAGCATCCAACAAAAGATAAATCATCGGCAAATTCAGAGACTGAAGTTATCATTTCAGATCCCATCTTATCGCGACATAAAACCAAAACTAGATTATTGTATGCTTTATTACCGTTCATCGTATTGAAGTATATACTATAAAATCAATAAATATACAGGTAATGCACACGACACAACACCCATTGCTTTAAGCCCTACCTACCGCAACACGAATCTGACTGCATATACGCCGGCAACCGCAACCATTCTGACTTGTCACAACCCCTATCATCGACACCGAGACGCCTGGTGTGACCCCGTGATCCTACGGACATGATTGTTCCCCCAGGAATAAGTCGGGGTCTTGTCTACACGCCGGTACGATACCAGCGGCAATCAAACGCAATCGACTATCACTGCCTCTAACAGCAAACATGCTCGACACCCAGAGTCAAAATGGGAACTGCTGGAGCTAGTCGCCCGAGCCAGAGCCGGCAGAAGTTCCTACGTCATGGAATGTCCGCGACGAGGAGCTTCTAAGACGCCGCGTGCGGCCGGCAGCAAGGGATGGGACCAACTACGGTTCGACTGCCGGGCCAAGCGGATACATTGAGAGTGGTAAAAATCACAATTTGTTACCGCCACATTCCCCAAAGCAACATAATTATATTCCAGTATCAGCTGTGAAGATGTTTCGCAATATGAGCTGTAAATCAGTAAAACAACCAATCGAACGGTTACACGCTATTCTCCATTAACATCAATCTAACTTCGGTAAGTTGAATAGGCAGTCGCTTTGACCAACTCAACCATCATATCAGATAGCGGTACAGGCTTGGGCGCAAATGCTCATCACTGCGCAGTTACCTTTAGAAGCCGACATTCATCGCACTAGCCCATTCAAGAGCCACTTCGGGTAACAGAACAGGCTAGCATGTGCCGAGCGTGGAGAGATTCTTCTGTGCAGCCGGATAGCTTTAAATAAGCCTCAGCCGCGCAGTGCCGTGGATAAGACAGCGAGCGGGCGGCGGGGAAGGGGGTCAAATGGTCTCGTTCTACGTACGACAATGGCGACGAGCTACATTGCTGCTACCTGGAACATGTGGTCCGCCCGTGGCGGGGAAATCCGGCACCGGAGGAGCGGGCGGGGCGGACTGTCGAGTCCAGCGCCACCTCGCTCGGAGCGCCGGCTGTGGCGACACCGCGGCTGAAGCCTAGCAGTGGAATGGAATGCGGCGAACACACCGAAATGTTGACCTGAAACGCACGGATAAAACCGAACAATTAAATATTACATTACCAAAAAAGAGAAATAAATGCATTTCATGATTAAGGAACGAAATAATTTCATTTACATGTAACGGCTTCCTACGACCAATTCCTTTTCACAAGACCTCCCAACACACAATCCTTCCCCCCGTGACTACATCCCAGTCCGGGCCTCACCTAAGCGTGTGCGTCTGGCGTCTGGCGGGCGCCGCTCACATCAGCTCGACGTGGCCGTCCTCCTCCAGCCGGCAGATGAACTTGATGACGCGGTCTCGCTCGGGCACCTCGCGGCACATCTCCACCACCGCCAGCAGCTTGCGGATGCCGATGTGTGCCCTGACACGGAGACGTGAGGTTAGGGCCGCCGGCCCGGCATCGAGACACGCCGACGCTCAGTAAGACATACAACAAACAATTCCCGGAGCATTGAGCTAAAGCCACGGAGCAATCACTGTTTATACATTAGTTCGGAGTGTGAAGTGTCTCTATGCCCACACCGAGAACGAACTAATGTCCTAAAATGACATTTGTATGCCAGCATTATACAGAAGACACCTATGCATGAAGCGTGTCTCACTAAGACCAGAACCACGGATAAACCATACCTACGCCGCGCGGATCCGTCCACACCCGCACCATACCCACCTCCTGTCTGCCAGCTTCTTCTCGACGTCGCGGCACTGCTGCTCGTTGAAGACGCTCGTCTCGCGGAGCACGGTGACGATCTCGGCCGAGCTGGAGATGTTCGGCACCCGCAGCGTGGTGGTGAACGCGTTCAGCATGTCCATCTGCTCCAGCACGTCCCTAAAAGACGACGTGAAGGGTGTCAGACTAGGCAGCGACATGCAAACTTTGAACAGAATATTATCAATGGCATGGAAACTGAAGCGCACGAAGCCTCCCCAGACTAGCATTATGCTTATTGAGACATACCAGGCGTCTATTTCTTACAAAATGCACCAATTACGCGAAAAACACGATAATACATGAAACGCTGATCACATTAATGCAACTCTAGTAATAACGCGGCAGGTCAGTCCGAATCCACGGACGTCCAGTCCTCGGTACCGCTCCACGAGGGGTTATAAATACCTGCGGCTGGAGGTGGCCAGCACGAGCAGTTTGCGGCCCTTGGGCGGCTCCTTCTTGAGCAGCACGAGCAGCGCCTGCAGTACGACGTTGGAGAAGCGCGGGCCGACGGAGGTGTACTCGAGCAGACGCTCAATGTTGTCCACCACAATACACGACAGCTGGGAGCGGTACGCGTCGTCGAAAAGCTGCGAAAAGGTGTAAGGTGAGATGACGTGGAGAACATACAATTTCTTTACTTTCACCGACGGGAATCATCGATGGATCCTCCAAAGTCCAAAACCTTTCGGTGATGTAAATGACCAGGATTTACGAGCTACCTTGCTGCATGTAGCGAACGTATTTTTCATTCAGCCCGTGAGCCGAAGTCCGTCTGGCTGGTGCCAGGCACGTCATCAATTTCAGCTCCGGATACCTCTCACGTCTTTGGTATAAGTTATTCAGAACCCGCTCTCGATGGCTCCCGACAGGGCTGTGAAACTAACGGCTGTGTGCGACACAATGTCGTTATATATTCTGATAAGCTTAATTCTGTTCCAGATGCCAGCACCGGTCGCCGCAATAGCCGTCTGAAGACCGCTCGAGCTCCGCAGCATCGGTGAGTGGAGCGCTGTCTTACCTTGCGAATGACCTGGACCTTGGCGGCCTCTGTGAATCCGACCATGTCCTCGGGTGAGCAGATCTTGATGAAGGGGAACTCGGAGTTTTTGGCCAGGTGCGCGGCGATGGCCGTTTTGCCAGAGTTGGGCGGACCCTCCAGCAGCACGGTGACCACACCCTGGCGGGAGCAAATACCAGTGTCGGTAAAACAACCGAGAGTGTCTACGCAATCGCCAGGGTGTGCTTACTTTGCTTATCCGCAATACTTATCTCATAGAGAAAAGTTCTAGGCAAAAATGAAAAGAAGCAGAACCATCCGACGACCTTGTTATAATTACGAGCATGAATTTAATTCCTGCACACAGGCTACACCTACGTTTCACGTCTCCACCAATAATTTAGACAGAGCTACCCCACCCCTCCTGTTGCGGTACGCCCCTCCGCACCCCCTCACCGTACCTTGCTGGTGGGACTGCGCGCCTGGCGGATGAACAGCATGGCGTCCTCCATGATGTGCTGCACGGCTATGCCCCACGAGATGATGCCGTGAGACATAAAGTGCTCCAGCATGTCCGCCGACGTGCCGAACGCCTGTAGAAGGAAAATATTATCAGGCTGGTGATGCAAAACGAAACAGGAATTCACGCTTATTGCATGACTCACACTGCAACAGGCGCTCATGGCGGCAGGAAAGGTAAAACCTAATGATCAGATGCGAAAGCACGAGCGGCGGGCGCATCTGCAAGTCAAATAAGCAGCTTTGAACGCATTGTGGTACAACTTAGGTGGATCTGTACTCTGTAGTAACTGATATAACTCCTACCAGACAACCAACTTATGCGCAGACCGTTTATTACCCCATCCAGTCACTGCCTACCGGTTTGATGTCGTTCTCCAGCGCATGCAGGAAGTCGGAGCGCTGCACGCAGATCTTGCTGGCTGCGTCCGGGTCGACGGACACCTTGTTGGAGGCCTTGATGAGGCGGTTCAGCGCCGTGGACTGGGCGGCGCGCACCAGACCCTCCAGCTCAGCACCGCTGAAGTTTTTGGTCAGCTGCGCCAGCTCCTGTGGCGGCAATCAGAGGAGGTTCAGTGGACAGACACAAGAGGCAAAAGCTCTCGGACTAGAAACGACGAGCTTCGCCAAGCTCGATTTAGAAACACTACCTACCCAGTGATATAAAGAAAAACATGCATTTTTCTTCTTTAGAAGACTGAGAGCAAGACTAAATAATCATGCAGGCGCACCCAATCATTGCTCGAGAAATGATTATGCTTCAAATGATAAGCAAACTTGTTTGGATCGAATGGCTGCTTTCCAATATCCCGCCCAAAAGTTTTGACGCCCTCGGGATTCATTCGGGTCACATCGAACGGCCCGGCATCTCCACGCCACGGCCCCTAAACGACCCGCAGAGCCGACTCAATACCGGCCAATCATCACCGGTACACGCCGACTCGGCGAGACGGGACCCACGCCCGGATCGACCCGTGGGGGGGGGGGGGGGACGCACCGCCAGGTCGACGTCGGGCGCGATCTTGCCGTAGCCCCTCATCTTGGCGGTGTGGATGCCGAGGATCTGGCCGCGACCGTGCTCGTCGGGCAGGCCGATCTCGATCTGCACCTCCAGTCGGCCCGGTCGCAGCAGCGCCTCGTCGATCATGTCGCGACGGTTGGTCATGCCTGCGTGAGAGGTGGGATTGTCGACCTTGTTGCCCTTGTCGCTGAGGGCGATCAATCGGTGTTGCACGCTAGGATAGCGGGTGAGGCGGGCGACGGGCCGATTCAGGGTATTTCTGTCAGACGGGACGGGACATGGTGGTGCAAGGTGTGTGACGCTGTAGACACATAAACAGAATTACTGCCGGAATTAGAGCACAGTAATGGGACGGGACGGAATAATTAGGACACGTTAGGAGTAAGGACGGAAGGAGGAGGTTGGTACGAGGTGCAATTTAGCAGCAGGCAAGGCAGCTTATAAAAGGAGCTGAGTAGTAATTTACCTTAAGTATTTACCTTAAGTAAAGGTCATTAGATACCCTTTCGAGTAATAAGACCCTTTACTCAAGAGGCGCCTCCTCCTCTTCTGATGAAGACGAGTTGGCTGCCATGCTTGTTGTCGCCATAAAATGACGACCACTGTTGTTAGTGACAGTAGCTACTGTTGTTAATACGATGAGTAGCCACTCTTGAGCATTAGTAGGAGAAGTTGTAGTTAAACTTGTCGGGGTGGTCCTTCCATTCTTTCCCAAGTCTGAACTTAAAAACATCGACATTTGGTGCTTCAATAGTGTTCCTAGACAGCTTGTTCCACGCCCGAGTCACTCGTGCCGCGAAGAAGGCTTTCCTAGGTCCCAACTGATGCTGAACCTGCAGCTTTTGACCATGACTTCGGGTGGTACGGCTAAGAGAGTTCTTGAACATGCTGTTGCGACAACACGAGCACTCTCTTTGGTAGTTCACCGTGTCGAAGCCTTTTAAGATTTTGAATGTCTCGATAATATCTGATCTTTGCCTTCGGAATTCAAGGGTAGGCAAATTGAGGCTTCTGAGACGATCTGAGTATGACAGGTGAGACAGCCCCTTCACCAGTCTCGTTGCCCGCCGTTGCACCTGCTCGAGTGAGTCTTTATCCTTCTTAAATTTGGGGCTCCATATAACAGCGGCATACTCAAGATGGGGTCTCACGATGCTCTTGTACAAGGCTTGAAAGACATCACTGTCAATGTTTGCAAAGGTATGTTTGATGACTCCGAGAATTCTATTGGCCTTGTTAACCTGGTTCATGACATGTTTTGAGAATGATAGTTTCTTGTCAATAGTAACTCCTAGGTCTTTTTCTTCACTGACTGCTTCCAGAGTGTGATTGTCTCCGTCTATAGTAGTCATAGTATATTCTTTTTCAGGATTAGTTGATCCTAGATGCATGACCTTGCACTTCAGTGGATGGAATAGCATCTGCATTGTTCTTGCCCAATCCTGTATAGAGTTTATGTCCTCTTGTAAGCCATTTGAATCATCAGACTCGTTGACGACTTGATAGACTTTCGTATCGTCGGCAAACATGGAAATGAAACAATTTAACAGGTCGGGAATGTCACAAACAAACATAGAGAACAAGAGAGGTCCAAGGACTGAGCCCTGTGGCACCCCGCTCGTTACATTCCCCCAATCTGAGAGCGATCCATTTACTTTCACCCTCTGCTGTCTGCCAGTGAGGAAGCTCCTTATCCATCGGCATGTTACGTCATCGACTCCCAGAGCCTTGACCTGGGCCAGAAGCCGTTCATGGGGCACAGTGTCGAAGGCTTTGGCATAGTCTAAAAATACAACATCCACAGGTAACTTGTGACTAAGCGCTTCTGTCCAAACATCAAGTGCTTCCAGTAGGTTTGTGACCGTAATAGACAAATATATATATTGAGACGGGTTACACAGCACATTGGGTGGACGCGTTTCGTCTAAATGACTTTTTCGACACCCTCTCGGAAATTAAAACAATACAAACACACAAGAATAAAACTAGCACAGCAGTCTCACACTCTGTTGAAACAGAGTGTGAGACTGCTGTGCTGACTGCTGTGCTCTGTTGAAACAGAGTGTGAGACTCTGTTTCAACAGAGTGTGAGACTGCTGTGCTAGTTTTATTCTTGTGTGTTTGTATTGTTTTAATTTCCGAGAGGGTGTCGAAAAAGTCATTTAGACGAAACGCGTCCACCCAATGTGCTGTGTAACCCGTCTCAATATATATATATATTATAAAAGGAGCGCAAGGGGGATGTGGGGTGGAAAATCACGTCTACATATGAAACCTCATAAATTGCGATCTGGATACTCAGGCAACGTCCTCTGATGTTGAGTTTTCAAACTAATGTGTCGGACCCATTGTGCTAATCCCAAACAGTACGTTGTGAGCAACAGGACCCACAGGCAAGCATTTCATAAAACGAAACCACAACACTTGGGGCACGCTGAATGCATACACAAGGCGCCGACCGCGAGTGATGGATAGGATTAGTGACGCCGCGGCTATGCAGTAGCCGGTAACAGCTGTTGCGGTGCTGGAATCGGTATGAATATATGATGACCACCGGGGACCAATCCAGCCTAGTGGCACGTAATGCCGCCCGACTGTCGGGCCAGCAATCCAGCCGTTCATCCAATATTAACGCCGCCTCGGGCATAATTGAAATGTTGTCGAGACACAGTCGGGGTCGCCTCCCAACGGCGTCACCATTGCCGCCATGAACCGCGATAGACTCCGCCCAGACATCCATATCGCATGACGAAACGGCAACCCACTAACTTAATCCTGACAACAAGTTCCAAACATAGCCAAAAGCGGACGCTCGAAGCCAACACCGGACGACCGCCATCCCTTTCAGCGGCATCCCCTCTCACCAATGACAAGGATATTGTTGAGCTGCTTAACGCCATCGATCTTGGAGAGCAGCTGGTTGACGACCGTGTCGTGCACGCCCGCGCCGCTGGCCACGCTGCCTCGCTGCTTGCAGATGGCGTCCAGCTCGTCAAAGATGATGATGTGGAGGCCGGAGTTGGGGCCCATCTGTGGAGTACATAGGAGAACGGGGGAGTCAATGTTGGGAGTTGTGCGAGTTGGGGCACATTAGGCTAATCAATAATCATATGCAACGTATTCAGCTAAGCTGTAGATTACGCTCGGCTATAAACGCCATAACGATTCCTGTCGCACGTGTTGAGCTTTTGCATGATGAAAATTAAATTAAATGCACTAAGCGAGCTACTAATGTTAATCGGTTTCGGAGAAAGGGTCGGAAGGGTCATGATATCGATCGGGTCTGGACGTTGAAAGTCAGATGTTCAGGATAAGTCCAGAAATCGGGATGTGGTACCTTTGGAGAGCACAGCCCTAAGTGAACTGTCAATATTAATTGCAAAAAATAAAACTTCAAATGATGCATCGTTCTTTCTTAATGGCAGACGACAATATTGCATTGTGATTTATTTCTAGGCAAAGTTTCGCCAGTCGGTGCTACTAACTTACTAACGGTGTTCGCCAGTCGGTGTTATACACCTACAACGTGCAGAAGACACAAATAACTTAAATTTCACACACAAATGGGAAACACGCCGAAATTGCCCAGGAGATCCCGTACCAGCACGCGAAATTCGTGGACGATCGCACATACTCCGCCTGGGGCAGTCATTTCACTGCAGTCGGATAGGTCGGTCGGTTTAACTTCGCCAAAGTTAGAAGCAACAAAACAAAACAATATATGATTATGGCCGTGGGACGGTCAATAGGCTAGAACAAAGAACACCGACGATTGTGGTAGCAGTGATGCAAATTCTTAGCCCACGGGTACGTTAGAGAAGTCCGTCAGATCTGGGAGAGACGGAGGCGAGCCTGGGTTCAACTTCAGACTAGACCGACTAACCATGAGCCCAATTCAACAGATGTGACCTGCAGATTGAGGGGAACAACTGAGCTTGGTGTCGGACTCGACCGATATTTGCCAGACCCTACTTGATATTGTTTGAAAATAGCTTCGCCGATTGGTCGTTGATCCAATAGTTCTCGGGAATTTGAGATCTGAGGATGTCGAGTATTTGCTGTTTTCAGAAGACAGGCGGGCGGGCATTGGCTGACATCGTCAAAATTGATAGCGTTCAGCGTTAAATCCAAATGCTGCGCCGGCCAATTCATGACATGAACGTGACTTCTCGTTGGGAGGTAATGGATGGAGCCGGCCGACACAGCTCCCAGATACGACACAGCTGGTCCGGGGCAATCTCACAGCGGCTGTACAGAGGTCGCGAGTGGCTGGGTCTGCAACTGGTTTTAATTAAAACAGCATCGTTTTGAACATATAACTCAATGGGGATAGGACCGTGGGGAAATTAGGTACCAAGGGCAAAATATCAATGCTCCTTTAAACGTATGCTTTTAATCACGTTCTTTAACTGATGCGCTTAATCAAACGCCTCTTCTTTAAGTAGGTCAAGTGCCAGCTGACGCTCTGCCAAATCAATACAAATGTTAGCGAGCATTTGTCCTCCACTGTGTCTGTGTAGCGATTTTCCATCTCCGGCTCCTGTGGCTGCTACCATGGGTCGTGGCACACAGCCGGGTCCCGGCGTCGTCTCCCATTACTGCCGCCGACAGAGGCCGGAGAGGCGGCCGTCCCGACCGGCCGGCGGCGGCGGACGCGCGGGTGACCGGCCGGGATCGACCGCCGGGGAGCCGCCCCCTCCCCCTCCCTCAGCGGGGAGGGACGCCGCCCCTCTGAACAGCGTTGGACCAGCAGCGGCCGGCTGACGGTCGGGTGCGGGCGATCGAAGGCAAGGAACCGCTGTCGGGCCAGCCGTGGTACGGAACCAAGGTCATGGGCTTAAACTTTAAACGGAGGAGAAACTGAGATACAATTTGGCACACACAATTTCAAACAGTTGCAAGTTTCATGCAAGGATCTGCTCATAAGTAGTAATGCGGATTCCTTGCCACATAGCTCAGGCAAACATTGCAGCAAACAACGCTCGGGTAGCTCAGGATGCATCCTTCCGGCAAACAATGCCCCGAGTCCGGTGACAGCCGATGTCAGCCCCCCTGCCGAGCGGTGGCGGCGGAACTTGGGGACAATGTGTCCGCGGGTGTCTCATCCGAGTGGAATCTCAGCGGCCTCTCAAACCAATCCTCTGGAGAGCCATCGCTCTTCCAACCGACACTAAAATTCCCAGGGATGAAAGGCTGAGATCATAAAGATGAGAAAATGACCGGGAGGGAATGTGAAATGGATCTACGCAAGTAACTAGGAATAGCGGGGACGTGAATGTGCATCTGGGAAGTTGAATGGCTAATTTCACAACATTTGCATTGAACTGCGCTTGAAGCTCAACCGTTATAACAATGCGTGCATAGTTAGTAAATCTTATGATGTTAGAAAATGACCTTATGCTCATGATACAATGAAATGATAGTAAAATAAGGCTAAAAAGTAATATTTCATTGTATCGTGAGCATCAGGTCATTTTCTAACATCATAATATTCATAATTATGCTCAAACTAGCCATAGCTCACCTTCAACAAGTTAGGAAATCCTTCAAATTTAACGCCTTTGCCGCAATTACCTGCTCCATGTCATATCGCCCGCATCCAGGGACACCGTAGCGCGCTGTGCCCGCACCACACGGCGGCGGACACTCACCTTCTCTTCCTCCTCCTCCGCCTCGGCGAACAGTTTTCGGATGTTGGCCTCCGACTCGCCGACGTACTTGTCCAAAATCTGCGGGCCGTTCACGATCTTGGGCTCGCGCGCGTTCAGCATCTGGCCAATTTGGCGCGCCATCAGCGTTTTACCGGTGCCAGGCGGCCCGTAGAGCAGGATGCCCTTGACGTGCTTACACCCTGTCGGAAGGAGGGGCAGGGGTCAAGGAAAACGATTCGCACCAAACGTTGAAAGCTATCGAGATCTTAAGTACGTTTCCGTTTTGGCGCACTGTGAGAATTTATTTACTGTTTGTGCAGTCAGAGGGGAGCTCCTATTTGTTATTGAAAGGAAGAACTTCTTCTCGTTTGCTCAGCGAGAAGAGTTTCTATTTTCTTTCCCAATGAAAATATATATTGTATTCAGTGCCAGGCGGGGCCGTGGCTCCCCACCGCTCGGCTAAGAGCGTTTCGTGTCGTCGGCTGCCTGCCGAGAGGAGGCGAATACAGCGGCCTGTGTAGGTGTGTCTGGTCGATACGCGGCGAGAGTGGTAGCCAGCAGGATGCTGCCAACTCCTCACAGTAGGAGAGGGAGGACAGCTGCGAGGAGAAATGGAAGGAGGGGAAGGCAGCGGTGCACGGTGTAGGAAGGAGGCAAGTCTTATCGTCCTGAGTAGCGTTAAGACCCATCAGATGCAAACACATAACACCTGGAACTTATCGTCCTGAGTAGCGTTAAGACCCACTAGATAGTAACACACAACACCTATGAGCTGCCAGACTCACATCTTTGCCACTTTTGGATCTCGCTCGTTATCATCGTTATCACAACAGCATTATGACAGTAATCACCCATTCCCAGCATTAGCCTAACACACTTTCCCGAGTCTAGCGTGAATAGCGTAATAACATTGATAAATCACCGAACTTTTTTTTCTGCGCCATAAAAACACCGCCAGTACCCCGCTCCGCCAGGATAGTGTATCAGCCTATACAATGTGTCGCCCACTCCTGCGTCCCCACTCGTGCGGTGACCCAGAAGCAGGCAGCCATACGCCGTGCTATCGAGCGTCGGCCACCGTAATAAGGGGCCGCTGGCCGCTGGCCGCCGGGGACGGTGGATTTCCTCCCATTACACCTCCCGGGGGATATCTCGTTCTGCCGACGGCGACTGGTGAGCTCGGCAGGAGCGGGCGGGAACGAGGACGGCCTGTGATAGAAGAGGGGCGCGTGAAGACGCTCGGTGATGGAATAAAGGTAACGGGGACACAGCTGCCCGGATAGAGTAAAAAGTTAAGCTCAGGAGAAGGGGGGAGAGGAAGCAGATGTGATCGAGAAACAATATCAGCTCCACAGGGATCAACGTACATAAGCACCCGGTCTTGGTGATAAGCGCGTGGATCAGCCAGAATGGGATCGCCGGCGGAGACACAATACACATTGGTAGTCCCGAGGGTTACTGGCGAGGGATGCACTGGCATCAGCTCAGGACCGCCTAGAGGTGACCCCAAAGGGGTTGACGTACCGAGCTGCTCGATGATCTCCGGCGGGAAGACGCGCGAGGCGAACGCCCGGCGGAAGATGGCGTTGAACTCCTTGTCCAAGCCGCCGATGCCCATCTTGTTGAAGTCCCAGTCGGGGTTTATGAGCGACTGGCGCACCTGGGTTCTGTCGGGACCAAAACAGTCATCACGGACCGAGTCGATTCTCGGAGTTAGAAGAGATGGGGCAGACCAAACGCGATACAAACAGTGCGATCGTCTTAGAAGGTTGATATATCACCGAACTTTTTTTCTGCGCCATAAAAACACCGTCAGTACCCCGCTCCGCCAGGATAGTGTATCAGCCTATACGATGTATCGCCCACTCCTGCGTCCCCACTCGTCCCCACAAGACCAATTGGACTTGGATCGGCCAGGACGATGTTCGGACTAGAAAATTGCATTCCGGAACGTAATATAAGACGACATTCAACTGGGCAGCATCTCCTGGCGAACTTTGCCATTTATTCGATTGCCGGGGTAATGACCCCGATTGCGAGCGGGCTTCTGTTTATTGGTCACAAGTCCCAAACCCTCCGACTGACCCCTTGGACTTTCCGACGAGGTTGAGGCTCGAGTTGTCGGCCTTCTCGAACTGGACGGTGGTGTTGGGCAGCAGGAGGCCGATGCGGGCGTCCCGCGGCTTACTGTCCTCTCCTTTGGCGATGGCCATCATGTCAGCCACTGCCGGCGGCGAGCGGGGGTCAGAAGGGGAGGGGAACGGCAGCCCGACCGACAGAGGCGGGGGCGGCCCACTCTGAGAACTCAGCCGCATTGATCAACCATTAGACAGCGATTTCAGACATTGATCCTAACATCATTGATTAAGCTTCCGCTGGCGCGAAAACGTGGCGGCTTTAACAATAAGTGACCCTAATAAAAGCCTCACGACGGTAATTTCATAACCCAACAAATGAACTTCATTATATCCCGAAATTAACCAGGACTGTGCGGGCTACGTTTAGGCGCCAATTCCGTCTGAGCTTAAAACACACATGATTCAGCCGTTCTGGACTTCCAGCGAGTCTACATGCATGCAAACGGTCCCTGTCACGCCATACGCTCCCCCTCCCATTCTCCCCACACCTCCCCATCACGCTATCGCCAGCCCCGTCCGACAAAGAATCGGACGAGTCTATCCACGTCCAGCAGTGCTGGGACAGCGACATAATGCGTGCTGCCGACAGGTGGCTGTGGGGTTGCTACCAAACATGACCCAGACAGGGGGAAGAGCCGATAAGGAGGCAGCCGGAGAGAGCGCGCTCAGTGGGACAGCCGCTCACACGGGGTACGTCAATCGATACACGCCGCGTGCCCCGGGCGCTCGATCCGCGGGGCCGGCACAGTGGGGCTCGGCGGTAACCGACAGCTGCAGCTGTGCAGGTCGCACCCACCGCAGGTACAGACAATATACACATTACAGTGTCTGCTTCAGTAGCACAGCTACAGTAGCCTGTGGGCCGCCGGTGTTCAGAGTGACGGATTTCCTTCTACACGGACAGCCATTGCCACACGGCTGCGGGCATGCAGTTATGCAGCTACAATTTCATAAGGAGTGTCGGAACTCGGAACCTACGGATGTTTTTAGTTACACCTTCTCTTACTGTGTATTTACTAATTTTCAAGGACTGGAACTATATATTGCCAGCAGTCACAAAGAGATTCCCTTTTTGCACTTGCCGTTCTTCCCGGCAGACGAGTTCAACCTCATACCAATGGAAAAGCTAATAGCATCGAGCACTCACCCTGCATCGACTTCACGACCAGCCCGAGCATCTTTTTGTTCTCGAACGCGAAGACGAGCAGCTGTCCGACGGTGAAGGCCTGGCGCGCGAACTGGGCGCTAAACGCCGCCGCCATCTTGTCCGTGTCATACGGCTCCTGGGTGGTGCTGGAACAGGGCAGAGACGAACGGCGGTGAGACGATGGTGGCGGATGGGTCAATGCGGCCGAGGGATTTCGAGGTGTAGGTACATGCCACTCCGATAACAGACAGTTGGGTAAGTCATTTAAAAAAGGTAGGGTAAAAAAGGCCTGAGACGACAACAACAACTCATTCAATGCTTCAATACGCAAAATCGGAAAAAATGTGTACTCAAGGAAATGTTAAGCCCCTTGCGAAGTAAAACTTAAAGGGACCCTCCCACCTTCAAAAAAGTTAATGAATTGGCATGAAAGTGATGTCGCTCAGTTCAGAAAGAGCAAAAACGAATATCTACCAAATTTCATCGAAAAATATTCACCGGTTTTCAAGATATTAGACTTTTACTTTTGTTTACTTTTTGGGATCTCCGCTGTTCCTAGCGACTTTATTTGAAAGTGCGGCATTTGTTGCGCGCAGAGCAGCATATACCACCGCGTGCTACAAAACGTTTAAGTCAAACATTTAACGGACGTTCGAAAGCCTGATGACGTCATCAGATTCCCGTAATGGTTAAGAGATAGGGACCACGCTGGTCCCACCCTGCAAGTAAAGGGAAGAAATTTCTTGAACACCATAAAGCTGCGGGGGTTATGACCAGGATAAATGGTGGTTTCTGAGCCTGGCCGCAAACTTGGCTATCTCAACTCAAAACTAATGTTACGGTGGGAGGGTCCCTTTAATCCGTTTTATTAGGTATAATCCTCGATCAGTCTAGATCAGGGATGCGGAGCCGGAGCCGGAGCCGGAGCCGGAGCCGCCGGAGCCGGCATATTTTGCCCGGAGCCGGAGCCGGAGCCGTGAAACAATGTAGCCCGGAGCCGGAGTCGGAGCCGGAGCCGTCAAAAAAGGGGGCGACTCCGGCTCCTTTTCTTTAGAGGAAACAATTATTTACCTAGTTCGGTTTGACAGTAGGGACCGTCGAGGTCCTGGTCAGTGTTCCCTACCTTCAGTGTTCGCATACACGGTTACACCTCGCCTCGCATTCAAAGCAATGCTGCCACCACCTACAAGGCGTAAAACAATGTGGTATTCAAAATAGCCTTGTTATACAAATACAGTAGCAACGTGCACCAATCCCATCGCCTTTTTTCTTCCACCCGTATTTAATTGATCGCATAGGGGATGTACTTCGTAGAAGCCGGAGCCGGAGCCGCCGGAGCCGGAGCCGGATCATTTTACTCGGAGCCGGAGCCGGAGCCGGAGCCGCCATGACATTTCACCCGGAGCCGGAGCCGGAGCCGGAGCAGATTTTTTTCTCCGGAGCCGGAGCCGGAGTCGGAGCCGTCTGAAATTTCCACGGCTCCGCATCCCTGGTCTAGATACTTGGCATGGCGATTCTTATTGCCTCCGAACTTCGACTGTCGTATACGAGCCAGATCCAATCAAGTTCATGGCCTCCGACCGGACCCATCGGCGTCAACGGCCGCATTTGGTCGCGACCGTCACGGCCTAACGCACATAGGGGTGCGTCGTTCAGCGTCCAATCGATACTGAGGAGTGAGGGACCCCGCTGCAACGGGTATGGCCGTAAGTGCGGCGGTCGGCCTACATATGGCGACACCCATGGCCGGCCGGTAATGGTGCAGGTCAATGATATGTGGCACGGCACATTTACTGCTGACGGACTGGCCGGCCATGATAACATATAATGACAGAGAGAGTTATGAGCGGAGAGGGCGGCACTAGAACGGAAATAAGTGGCGATTTGTACAATTCTACAACGTGTAGAGGCAACGTTATGTTGAAAGTACCAACACTGCTGATACATATAAATTTACGACGAGCTACAACATATGACCGATGCTACAATCCTTTTAAAGGTAGTGTGCCACCTTTGAAAGATTTCCCATTTTATTTTTCCTAGGATAAGAAGCTTCTGTTTTTACCTAATATCGCAAAAAAAATCAAAAATGGGCCTGGAATAGTGCCTTTTTCGCCTAAAAGTTTTTCGGTTTTTAGATATGTATAACAACTGTAGTGGGCTCACCTGCAAACAGGCGTCGGGCAACAATCGCGAATGCGGCGCACTTGTGACAATAAGCAAAGGTCATTATAGTGTTACGACCATACGACGTACGGGAATGAGTTATCAGCTGTCTAATCGTAGACAACACAATGTCGAGCCTTAAACTGTAAGCCTGTATTGGTATTGTTTCTTTTATTTAGCTGTCGAACATTATTTATGGTTTGAAATATGATTTTATGTAAAATAATTGATATGAAAAAGCCGTCTTATAAGTTATGACCCCATTTCACCACACGCAAGTGGCAGAAATGACAATGATCAGCTGACGCATTTTTCTTGGCCGAAGTCAGAGCGCGCGGCCCGACGCACCACGCGTATTTGGAAATTCCGACCTCGACGAGCATCAGAAGCCACCTAACAGGCGTGTTCGAAACCGCAGGAGATGATGATGAACGGGTTTATCGAAACTTGATTGGATGAGCATATCGGTAATAGCGATTTCAGTGTGTGCATTTATTGTTCATAGTGGTGTGAAATGTGGTTGGGGTACGACCGACAACCCGTCGGGGCGAATTTCGCACTGGGGTACTCAAAATTTGAAGAATTTAAGACGTTTCCATGAGTTTTGAAGGTATGGATAAGTTCTAAAAATCCGGTTCTCCTTATCTGGGCCATTAACTCCATACGGTCCAAGAAAGCTGGCACACTACCTTTAAGTACAGATGACCTGTAGTTCATGAGTCCTTTCCGTGCTTTCCATTATCCACATCATTCACAAACAACTGAATTTCATCCTCAAATGTCGATAACTAGTTCGAAATTCGCCATCTCACTCACACTACGCGCATCCCATCAAACATCTCAATCTTAGCTCATCTGGGGGATCTCTACCACAGAGCAACACCCCTTCTACCCACTCTGCTGATGTTAACCTACCAGCTCATCCCACACTCACACAGAAGAACCCACCGGCCCGGCCCCTGGGCGCGGTGGCCGCAGCACACCCACCTGCGCTTCTGCAGAAAGTCAGCCTCCAGCACGATAGCGCTGAGGTACTGCGAGTTGCTGAAGGTGTACGGCCGGCAGCTGAGCTCCTGGCCGATGGACAGGCTGGCCCACTTGCGCTGCGGCAACGAGAAGCCCAGGTAGCCAGGCTCGACGCTCGGGTGGCGCAAGCAGGTAATGATGAAGGAGGTCCCCGGCGCGGTGGACACCTCCAGGTGACTGGCGGGGAGGTGGCGATGGTGAATAGAGAGTTGGGAGATCAGCACCCTATATACATGTTTATATGCCCATGAAAAATATGATAACATAAGTCAACTCAGCAAACTTCAGAAAGCCAGGTCATAGCTCAAATAAGTAGCACTGGCTTTGCAATAAAAAACCAGGCACCTTTTAAAAAGCCGCAAAAGCACATTCCTAGGGCGAGTGGAACAGTAAGTTGGAGGCAGCATCAACAACTCACGTGCGATCCTCGGCCACCTGCTTGTCATTGGCGATGGCACAGTTGGTGATGGAAAGTTCATCAGTAGGGCACTTGCCTGCCTTCAGGCTCAGCATCTTGGCAATGGCTGAAAAGGAGGGCAGGAAAAGCTGGATTTCTTTAATGTGTATATACATAAAATCAATGTATCTATTTATCTAATAAGATGTTTGAAAAGAAAAATCCCTAACATTGTGGCTGCAGTCTCATTTAAGGCTAAGTTTTTTTGTGAATTAACATACAATTAGATTCTGCATAATTATTACAAACTGAAGGTGAAGTGTCATTGCACTTCTGCTGACTCCTGCAAGAAGCCTCTTGGAAAATCTGTTAAAATAAGGCCATGGGATTGGGATATACCTTTTCCAATATGTCTTTCCCCAGGGACAACACAGCTTTTCTAGATCATCTTAAAACCTAATCAAGCCTAAGCTCAAGCATATACTCCATTTGGTTTCAGCTTCATGCTGCCAGACTGGAATGATCCATGCTACCATCTAGATTGATATGTCTGGCATAAAGTGAGGATTGCTCTGAAGTTAGTAAGCAGGCAACCTGCTGAGAGCTGTTAAACCCCACATTCAGACGAGCCATTTTTTGCATAGGCGGTGGAGCGGGGGGGGGGGGCACCGGTGCACCGTGCCCCCTTGATTTTGCCATTTTAACATTTGCCCTATGGACGTTGCATGGAAAGAATGGGACCAAAAGTCGGCGTGCCCCCTTCATTGAAGGTGTTGTGTTCCTTCTGCCTCTACTGATTTTGGCGTGCAATTTCCACACTGAGGAATTCCTCACAAAAAACAGCTATTCAGGCATTGTGAAACATGAGAAATCTCATGTGATGCCACAAAAAGGGCCTACCTGAATTGCTGTTTTCATGAAGAATTTCGTAGCATGAAAATTCCATGTGAATATTGCCCGCAGCTAAAAAAGAAACTTCTGTGGTAATTTGAACCAGATAACTTACCTTTACCTGGTAGTGAACACTTGCAGTTTCAGTTCATAACAATAAAGCATTCAGTAACCTGCAATATCAGCCTGATGCTCTTGAAGCCATTATCAAATCAACACAACTAGTAGATAGTATACGCCAAGTAGTTAATACTCGAGTCTTGCATAGATACAAATAGTAATTACAATAAGTATCAATAACGAAAAATGTCCTTGCAACGAACTACGCTTGATACTTAGAGACTAGCGCCCATCCATTCTTCATGCGGACGCGGAGGCGGCAGCGCGGGCCGCGCGCGGGGACGACTCCGTTCCAGGCTCAAGGTATAACAAATACGGGAACCTTCGTCAGGTCTAGTATAAAGAATTACGTGTAAACATAACCTATTTTCTAAAATGTTTTGTACAATTCGAGAGATATAGGCAGTAGGCACACAGTCACAGACGCTTGCAATTTCTATATACCCTGCTTGCAATAGCCTATTTTCAGGCAAATTTTTGCCTGAAGAATTGAAAACTCGGCAAAAGGTGAGCCAACCGACCAGGGTATATAGTATAAGGCCTTGGTATATAGTACTTTTGGTAAGTCCTATCGACACCATCGAACCTCGTTCGGGGTGAGACTAAATGCTTACTTCGAAATCTAAGCTGCGTTGCGGCATTGGTGGTTATGTGCGGCGTGTATGCCGCATGATTAGTAAGCGGCGACCACTAAATTAAAGACCTAAACGCTCCAACCTGTTTTCAATGAATAACACTGCATACCAAAAATGTCAATCGCTCTCGTCATAAGATATTTATATTTAAATAACTAATTTATCTGCATCATCATTTTGAACCAAATTAATGCTTTCAACTTAGTACTCACTCATTCCTTCCTTCGTTGGCTCCAAACAGTACTTCGATTCATGGGTGTCGATTTGTATACCTTTGGGGGTGCTGCAGCACCCCCAATGCTCAAATGAGCACCCCCAATGGTTTTCCGGGCACCCCCAAATGTTCCAGTTAGCACCCCAAATGATTTTGTCCCTCAATACCTCCCACTAACTCTGCTTGAGGAACATAATTGGTTCTGCAGTCTTTCACTGCTAAAAACAAAACAATTACGCAATTTACAATGCATGAAAAAAGATGTAAAGAAAAGCAATGTTAGTCTTGAGAAGAAGGGCGAAAAAGACGATAAGTTGCAGACACTGGTGTGGGTCCGTCGTACACGGGTGTCAGACTCGGACCCTTTGAGCTGCCAAGCCGGCAGGGGGCTCCAGAGACCAGCGACGGGCCCTCAGAGCCAGAGGCCGGCAAAGGGCCATCAGAGGCCGGTGGTAAGTACCTTCAGAAACCCTGTGGGGTCGTCTTTAGAGACCGGCACGGACTCAGACGCCGATGGGGCCCTCAGAGTCGCCGGTGTGGGGCCTTCACAAGTCACCGGTGGGTGGCCGTCATATGCACACTGGTGGGGCCTTCAGAAGCGACGGCGTTGGGCCCTCAGAGCCGCCGATATAGGGCCTTAAGAGGCACTAGTGTGGGGCCCTCAGATATGGCAATGTGGAGCCCTCGGAGGCGCCGGTGTATGGGCTTCACAGTCGCCGGTGATTGCCATCACAGGCGCCGGTGTGGGGGCTCTCAGAGACACTGGTTTAGGGCCATCACAGGCACGCGTGGGGCCCTCAGAACTGCTGTTACGGAACGGACCCTTCATAGGCCGACAAGAAGATATCAAGAGGTCACCGGTGCCTTCAGGAGCTGGAGACCGGCATGGTGCTCTCAGACGCCGCTGGGACCCTCCGAGTCACCTGTGTGGAGCCGTCAGGGTCGCTGGTAGCTGGCTGGCAACTGACAAGGGCCCTCAGAACCGCCAATGTAGGGTTTTTAAAGGCATTGGCGTAGGGCCTCAGTGTTAGGGGTGTGGGGCCCTCAGAGACGCCGCTGTGGCTCTCAGGGGCGCCGGTGAGGGCCCTCACAGTCGCCGGTATAAAGTCCCTCAGAGAAATGGGTGTGGGCCTGGGGCTATTGTAGGCGGATGTGGAGTTCTTAGAGCTGGCCCCCTAACCCAGCCAGCAATTTGGTTCGGCGCAATTCCGTTTTGCCCCGGCAACTCCGACATGCCAGACCTGGGCCGGTGTAAACGGGACGCTGTCAGAGCCGGGGCTTGGGTCTATATGGCTCTATTCCGGTTAGCCAGTCTTTGCCGTAGCGCTCCCGAGTTGGTATGGTTTCGGACCGCCAAGTCTGGCTCAACTCCGTCCGGCTCCCCTACGGCCAGGTCCGGCTTCCGCATAGCTGCTCTGGCTTACTGTGGCTGAAGTACGGTTAAGGTACGGCACGGCTGATGCGGCATAAGGCCGGCTGTGGTGCGGGCGAGCTCCGGGATCGTGTGTCAGCTCATAGTAGAGCCCCAGACCTTGCCCGTACTTTCGCCGGAGCAAATGCCGGACTGCTAGCCCTAAAGCTACGGCCCAGACCAAATTTGCTGACTGAGAATAGGCCGGTTAAGACCCCCCAGAGGCCGACAAGTGGCCCTCTGAGGCCGGTAAGGGGCCCTCAGAGGCCGCCAAGGGGCCCTCAGAGGCTGGCTAGTGGCTTGGGCCCTTATGGAGTTCTTAGTGTTGGTACTTGTGGGCCCATGAGGTGTTATTACGAGTCATGTGGGGCCCTTCTGAGTCCAAATATGGCCAGCATGGACCCTCAGCGGCCAATTGGCGCCGCAGGGCCCATCAGGCCCGAATAACCCGAGGGCCCCTGAACCTGATGGGGGGAGGGGGCACGTGCCTCACGGACCCACCTGGCTACGCCACTGAGGAAAATAGTAAACCCGTAAATAGGCGAAATGCGATCACCTGTCATTTTTAGCGACTATTGTGATCGTCTGACTCTCGCCAGAGCCTCGTAGCTACCGCTGCCTCCGCGCAATGTCCGTCCCCATGCGGGCCGCAAGGGCTGCTGCACCGGTGCTAATCGCGATCATCGGTTTCTGTCACCTTATTACAGAGGTGCCGCGGCTGTTGCCGAGCTGCCGGCAAATACATATACGAATTTTTCGGAAAGATGTTTATGTAATAAGGTAGCCAAGTACTAGGACGAGCAGAATGATTTTCAAGAAGTATGTTCTACCTTTGGGGAATATTAGTGGAAATCCCGGGATTATCAGTACCCTATATAGGGACACCCAGCCGCAACCCTGCCTTGTACGGTTGTGCCCACTGCCCCATGGCAAAGCTGCAATCTTTCACCCGGTGCAGGGGTTGAGCACCCCCAACCATTTTGAAAAATCGACACCCCTGCTTCGATTGTCTGGAAATCGTATGCCAAATCCCGCACCTGTATACGACTGGTGCATATAAAGGCCGATGTAAGAATTTCAATAGGCTCTCGCATGCGATTTCCTGGCTACCCAAAAAGTCTGTTTCAGTCATGCTATCAAAACATGGTATGTCAGCCCTCTCACCAGCTTGTAGTGCCCCTGACCGTCACCGACTCCCTTCCCTCCTTAAAAGCCTAGTTTCCCTCCATCATCTCTACTAGATTTACGTGATGCTCCGACAAATTCACAAACAAGACCGAACTTGTTCGGAGTTCGGACTGTGAGTTAACCCGCGCCCCGTAGGGCTACCGGCGGACCCTACCACCCGTAGGGGGGGGGCCGTTTCGGCCCCCCCTAAGATCTCGGAAAGTTACCGGCCGATTTTCAAAATTCAAACGGCGTTCGATAGCCCCACCCGGGAACTACCTTGTGACCAAATTTCATTGATCTAGGTCAAACCGATGACGTCACAGGTCAGGTCAAAGGTCAGATTTTCACCGTTCACAGGCAATTCAAGAAATGTGCTGTGAAAGCGAGTAAATTGGTAATTTATTGAAAACCATCGATGGTACATTGTTCGTGAAACACATACTTTGCTATCTGAGGTCACTGATACCAGGTCAGGTCACAGCGAGGTCAGGTCACCGGGGGTCACAATATGAATGTGTCGTGTGATACATGTTTTATGGTCCATTTTACATGACAAATGCGATTATCTGGGTTAGGCAGCCTTTGGGGCCAGCCTAGGTCACGTTTTTGTGAAGGTCAGGTCAAGGTCAGGTCAAATTAGGTTAAATTTCAAAGTTGATATTTTTGCATAAAATGGGTATCGATTCGATGCAGCTCGTCACGGGGAGTCTAATGGTGGTCTTCGTATCCCAGTAAACATGACGACGTCGGCCCGACGTCGGGCCGAGGCTCGGCCCGACGTCGGCCCAACGTCGGTTCAACCTCGGCCCGACATCGGCTGGACGTCGGAAATGCCCGCATGTTCCGACGTCCACCCGAAGTCCAGCCGACGTCGAGCCGACGTCGGGCCGAGATCGTTTGCCGAGGTTGACGAGATCGTTTGTCGTTGGACCGACGGGGCCGACGTCGGCATGTTTATTGGGACACCGCCCCAAAAATATCAACCGGCGGCGGGATTCGAGCCCCCCAGTCGCCGACGTCGGCATGTTTACTGGGACAACACGCCAAAAGCATCAGCCGGCGATGGGATTCGAACCCCATGTCATTCGAACGCAAGGTTAGCGCGCTAACCACTACACCACGCAGCCAGCTAACGACCTAGGTTTGTTTTGTTGGATTATGCCATTTCGGTATGACAAGACAATTTCAGAGCCGGAAGGGTCATAGGATGGAGACATTGGTCTTCTTGGCGAACACCCTGGGTCCAGTTCATATAGAGTCCCTGGTCCCATTGCTGTTACGTGACACTTATTGGAAAGGGCGACCCCACAATGGATTCATATAGCCACTCTTACACACCTGCACCAACGTTGCCCAAAGTGTCCCTTTGATAAGTGGCACTTTGGCAAAGTGGCCTTTCTATATGAACTGAGCCCGGCCCTGGTGAGTTGCCGGGGCTGAGCCTGACCAAAGGATAGGCCGAGCAGCCCCCAAGCACTCACCGCACCCGGCTACGGGCGAGCTCGGCTTACGGGCAATCCCAAATGGGATAAAGTTTCCCGTCCAGTCCGGATCAGGGGGTTGCGGCGTGGAGGAAGATTTGAGTTTCCTGAGGATATTTTGAATACAGAAGCTCTTTATGAAACATGAAACATGTATTTTATATTATTTTAACGGTCAAAACAGCGGCCGATGTCGGACCGACGTCGCCCCGACGTCGGCCCGACGTCGGCTAGACCTCAGCAATTGATCTCGGTCCGACGTCGGCCCGACGTCGGCTGGACCTCGGCTGGACGTCGGAACATGCGGGCATATCCGACATCCAGCCGACGTCGTGCCGAGGTTGGACCGACGTCGGGCCGACGTCGGCATGCCGATGCCGAGTTGCCGACGTCACCCCGACGTCGGCCGACGTCGGGCCGACGTCGGCATGTTTACTGGGTATTGCTCTACGAGTTCTAGAATTGCCAAAAATTGAGTTTGAAAATTTGAAGTCATCATTTCTGAACAGTTTTTTCGCTATAACTTGGCCAAAAAAACGAGGTATCGATCTGAAATTTGGTATGTAGATAGAAGACGGTAGGCACTATCACATATATTGCGGTTTTTTTTCGAAACTCAAAAAACTTTTTGGTTTTTTTTGGCGAATATATCCCCAAAAGTGCTTTTTTATTTTTGGGGGTCAAAACTCAAAA